CATTTTGATGAGGAGCATTTTATCAGTAGTGGAGGCCAAATGATCCTTTTAAGAGATGCTGTTCCTCTCGCTTCTAAAAAGTAAGTTTTCTTTTTTTTTTAAATTTATTTAATAAATTTTAAATTTCAGTGCTACTGCTACAACCAGTTTAAATTCACCATTGTCCCAAACATTAGAACATAATAATGATACATTTATGGAAGATTCACCAGTGAATGCTAAGAGGTAAATTTATATTCATAATTATTACCTACCTATTATATGAATAACCAAAATAAAATAATTTTTTGTTTTCAGAAAATTATTTGATTCTATTTCACCTCTTGCCAAAAAAAATTCAAAATCCAGTAATTCTACACGTTTTGGGGACCTTAGCATTAATGATTTTAGTAGTCCTAATAGAGCACGTCGCAATTTTCCTGTTGTCCAATCAACCATTTCAGGTCTTCGCTCAAAAACTAAAAATTTGATGGAAAAAAATCGTCGTTTACAAACTTAGGTCCAATCTTTGCAATCAATAATTTCTGATTTGCAGTCAAATTGTTATATTTCAGATGCTGCAGCAGACAATTTGAAGGTGAATTTGGATATGTTGATTGTTAATGTTGTCATTTATGTTTAGTATATGTTTAAGTGTTTTTTCAGTAACCAGATCCGCCATTAATATAAAATAAAAACTTTTATGTACAAATTGTTTTACTGTTTTGTTCAATTTATCTTGGTGGTTAGTTCAGTGTGTGTGTATCATAGTGTTGTCTTGGAATACACAAAAAAATGATTATTTTTTAATAAATAAACTGTTTTATTTAATCTTTGGTTTTGGATATATTAAAAACACGGGAAAACAGTTTGAAGAATAAGAAAGTATACAACAATGAAATTAAACAAATATATTTTGTTTAACAAAAATGTATATTTATATACATAAGCTATTGCTACTATATTTAATTCATTTTGGTGGTTGGCTGAGAGCGATAACTGCAAATACACAATATATGTTTTTTTTTTTTTTACTTAGGCCTTGGATTTAAATGTAATCTAAACTATGTTACAGTCATATTTTATTGATTATAGTGGTTGGTTGAGTGTTAACTGCAAATAAGAATAATATTATTATTTTTTTTTTTTATATAATTATTTTTCCTAGGCTTTGGGTTCAGATGTTTTAAACAGTTTAATAGCCAACAATTTGGAGAATAAGAAATTATATAGTAATGAAATTAGGAGGTTTGCATTAACTCTTCATTACTATTCACCCAAGGCATATGATTTTGTGCGCAATTCCTTTTCAAATATTCTACCACATACCAGAACACTGCGTCGTTGGTATACAGTAGTTGATGGAAAGCCGGGTTTTACACAAGAATCATTAGATGCTATTAGTATCAAATGTAAACAAGGACCAGTGTACTGTAATTTAACTGTTGATGAAATATGCATAAAAAAACATGTAGAAATTGACACTTGTCAAAATGTATATGGCTATGTGAATATGGGCACAGACTATGAGTTGGACAATGACGAAATTCCAGAAGCAAGAAATGCTTTAGTGTTTCTTGTTGTCGGAATGAATGGCTACTGGAAATTACCTATTGGATATTTTCTTATTGATTCNAATTGGTGAAACTGGAGCAAACCTAAATTCAGTAACATATGATGGAGCAAATGTGAACACCACTATGTGCACTTCTCTCGGAGCAAAATTTGATTTGGAAAACAATAATAGTCCATATTTTTTAAATTCAAATGAAAAAGTTTTTTGTTTTTATGATCCGTCACACATGATCAAACTTATAAGAAATACTTTTGGAGACAAAAAAGTGATCATCAATGGTAATGGTCAAAAAATAAAATGGGATTTCGTTAAACAACTATATAACAAAGAAAATTCAGAAGGATTAAGGGTAGCAACAAAACTAACTAATCGACACATTAATTATTTTAATGAAAAAATGAATGTCCGTCTAGCGGCACAAGTTTTAAGTGATAGTGTATGTGATGCGTTATTATATTTAAACGGCACAGATACTAATTTTCAAGGATGTTTAGCTACTGCAGAGTTTTGTAAAATTTTTAACAATGCTTTTGACATTTTAAATTCAAGAAAATATTTATCAAATAAACCGTATAATAGTTCCATATGTCAAATCACATACCAAAAATATAAAGACTTTTTGAACAATTTTTCTACGTATGTTCAAGCACTTACTTTTGAAGATGGTACAAAAGTAATTTGTTCTCAACGCAAAACAGGTTTTATTGGAATGATTTTTGGCATACAAAATGCTTTGGATTATTATACAATTTTAAATGAAAAGGGTGATATGTCTTATTTACTAACTTACAAGCTAAGTCAAGACCACCTTGAAACTTTTTTTAGTGCCATTCGGGGCAGATGTGGTTATAGTGACAATCCAACTTGTCATCAGTTCCAAACAGCATACAAAAGACTATTAGTTCACAACCAAATACGTAGTTCCATGTACGGTAATTGTCAAGCTCTGGACAATACTTTGAAAAACCCTTCAGCTGTGGAAATCATAAATGAAGATAATCAATTAAATGAAAACATTACAAACATAGATAATGCAAAGTTAACTAATTTAAATACAATGACTCTATATGTTAAAGATGTTAGTTCATACATTGCAGGGTTTGTGCTCCGAAGTCTTCAAAAAAAAATTGAATTGTGAGTCTTGTATAATGGAGTTACAGAGCAACTACCATTGCAATAGTTTAGCAATTATCAAAGATAGAGGCCATCTAAAAAAACCAAACAAAGATTTAGTCACAATATGTAAGGTTACAGAAGATATAATCAGACAAAATCACACTTCATGCATATTAAAAACGAGACAAAAATTTCAATTGATGATGAATCAAGTCAAACACATTCTAACTGAATATAATTTATTTCAAAGTTTAAGTTGTAGTCAAATAAGCCAACATAATATTATACTAATTGATAATATCATACAGAAATACATTCAAATAAGGTTATTTCATGAAACCAGGAAAATTAATGACAAACTTCCAATAAAGAAAAAGTTGAAAAAAATAGTACATTTCAGGCACGAATGAAATCCAAATGAGTAATAATAAATATATAAAGTAATATATAATTTATATTTGACTCTACTTTATAGGTAATAGTTACCATAATAATATAATAAATAATATAATAATGTAAATATGCATGAACATTTTAATTATGAATTTTACCATTTTATATACATAATATTGTACCCATTACTTACCATGATTTAAACAAAAATGTATGTTCATAATTTTTTGACGATCGGTACGTGTCGTAACATACTGTATTATATATAGTAGTAATAATTTAATGACAATACCTTTTGCGATCATACCAAGTATTATTAATTGTACTGTACCTGCCACAAAATTTAATAAAATTTAATAGTGTACTCACTGTCTCACTAGTCACTACTCAGTAAAATGTTTAATAATTCAAATTTCGTCATTTCGTACTCCTAATTCAAATACATTGACAAGATAACAGGATAACGTAACCATTGATAACTAGGTTACCATAACCAATGTTAGTCTGGGGCTCTTCCGGCACGCGAACCCATGGGTTGTAGGTATTGGAATAGCCTATCCTCTATATATTATCTATGACTTTTTGTCAAATTACCGTATAGGACCGTACGATAATTTATAAATTCGTAGCTAGGTGATAACATGCACGTAAACAATAAATATTATCTTAAATCTTGTCAATACCATAGAACAATTATTATTATAACATTATCAAAATCAAAATATTATATTATTAATTATTATACATTTATACCAGTCCGTACTCCGCACTCCATGACGTCTCCGTAGTCCTTGTTATATAAATTACTCTTTATAACTCTACATATTATTAGTCTATACTCTAAACTACATAGCTGTGCGCCTGTACTCAATAGACAATATGTTGGAAATACTGCAATAGGTATGTGTAAATAGGATAGATCAATAGGTAAATCAATTGTAAAAAATAAGTGTAATGAAAACTTTTTAATAAGTATAATATTATAATACATTAGTCAATTTTAAACATTTTTATTATGTTGTAAAGTTTCCAAATTCTACAACATCATTTGAAATTTCAGTTTCAGTTGGTTCATAATGATACATTGTTATATTCATAGAATCTATCATTAATTTGGTAGGGTTAAAGTGTACACAAGTTGTACCTTTAATATGTTCACTAGACAGTAGTAATCCATTTAATGACTCGACTTGTAATCTATTTCTCACTTTTGTTTTTACTAAATTCACTTTAGAAAAAACTCGTTCACAATCAACAGACGAATGAGGTAAACTCAAAATCTTTAAAACAAAACTGGCTACATTTTTAAATTTGAACTCACCATCACATTCCCAGTTATATAAGAATGTCCAAAACTCATCAACGTATTTTATTGTTTTTATGGTATCACACAAATCAATTATATTCAGCTTTCTCCATTCGGTATCAATAACTTGAAGATCATATTGGCTATATTGTGTAGATATTCTTGGAACTTCATTAAACATCGATGATAAGGAAACGAGACACTCGTTGCTCAATACAACTTTTGGTTGAAAGTTGTAGAGTTCCTTTAGTAAGGAATTATTAAAGTCATACCTGAAAGTAAAATTGAGACATGCACTATATTTGAATAATAGTACTTATGTTTTATAAATAACAATAAGTGTGTTATTCAAATACCTTTTTTTTATTTGTTTACAGGAAACAATTAAAAATTGTCTGCATTTCTCATAAAATTCTGTTAGCATTTGTTTATTTGAATTTATTTCAGGCTTTTGAATCAATGTCATTACATTAAACCCCAAATACATTTCTTCATTCCTCAAAAACATGGTTCTATCCTCAACGTCACAATTAAATGGATCTGGACACTTCTTTATGAAAGAATATAACAGCTCTGGTAGACAAAAAAAATATTTACTTAGTAATACATTTATACAAATATTATTCATAAGTTGGTTTAATTTAAATTTAGCTTATTTGTTTATCATAACTACCTTGGTATGTTTCCTTCATTCTAATATGTAATACAGCAACAACACTTTTTTCACTCTGAAAGAGCTTATTCAAATTTACAAACTTTGGTAATACCCATTCCAAAAAGTTGTAAAATAAAAAATTAAGTGGATCATTTAAATTATTATAGATGGTTTCTGCCATTACAACACGTTCTTCAAATCTATAATCAAATACAGTTTTTTTAAATAAATAGATAAGGTGTTTTCTTTTTTCATACATAAAAAAGAAAATTATCACTACCCATGTAATCTGAAAAACATTTTAAGAGGTTCCCACTGTTCCAGAATTCGCTGAACTACCATCAACAAAGACAACCATCGTGTTTGCGATGGTCTTAATATTCGGTGTGGATTAACATCACAAAATGTTTGAAATTCTTTGAATTGAGCAATTCGTTTACAGCTTGTTTTGAAAAAATTGTAAACATCTCGTGATAAGTCTTCACATCTATTAATAGTTTAAACAAAACAAATTAATCAAACTGTAATATTTTACAAAGTATAAAGTAAATGTTCTTACCTTCGAGGCAAAATTTTACAGGCTTCACTAGCACACAGCGCTAATGAATGGCAAATACATTTTTGCACCATAACTCCAGGAAAATCTTCCTTAAAGCGACTTGCCACCGAATTCCAAGGTCCAAACATTGTATTACAACCGTCAGATGCAAAGCCGATTATATTTTCTAGTGGAATACTTTCATTTCTAAAAGAGTTTATTACTTCAGTATATATCTTACTTGCAGTGGCACCTTCGTTAGCTGAATCAGAATCTTTAAACACTTCAATTAATTCCCAAAACCTTGACATGATCTTATTTGTTGTAGGGTTAAAGTACCTAACACAAATGCACAAGGTCTTAAGAGTTCCCACGTCAGTACTTTCATCGATTATAACACTGAAAGTTGTGTTTTTTAAATCTTGAACTAATTCTTCTTTGTGATTCTTACCAATGACATTTGTTACAATTTTAGTAGCCTTAGTTCGACCCAAAACAATTTTTTTCGCAATATCAGAGTCTGGAAATGCTTTTTTTAGTATTTGTGTTAAATGATCAGCAGTATTGAAAGATATATTGTGTTCGGATAGAAAACCACAAATTAATATTTCAGCTCTTTTAATTTGATTGATTTTTTTAACCTCATTCACATCGTCAACTTTCTTAAAAATATTAGTAATGGATTTAACATTTTTCGAATGAGCCAAAGAAGCTGCATGTTTTTTTATTGTTGTTATTTCTGAGACCATTTCCCGTTTGCAATAGCAACAATAAGCTTTTGTGATGTTGTCTTTCACTGGTCCAAGCCAATTTTTGAAACCGGGTAGTTGCTCCCATTCCGTCCTATATTTCTGCGTTCTATGGCCAAGCTTATGGGTGCTTTCACCACGCGGTGTTGAAGTCGAAGGTGCATCAATGTCATCATCACTTTCATTAAACATCATAATAAAAAATATATAAAACCAACGGAAATGTTTATATTACTTAGCTATAATTTATATGGTTATAACTAAAACTTAAAGTTTTATACCTAAAAACAATAAATATTTCAAGAATTTAGAATAATGACAATCATGTCGGTAAATAGAATTACCGTATTTTTCCATGATTTTGACAGGTCCGTCCGTGGACCGTACGGGAGGCCAAATTACCGTACTTCCCCAACCGGGACCGTACGGTTGGCAACGCTGGCTATACTAGACCATGTAACGCCGCGGTCATGGACGGTGTACGCGCGAACTATTAGCGCTAGTAGTCATTGGCCCCAATTTAACATGCATAATATAGGATTAACAATGATTTATCTCGTTTTTTTAAACTAAAAAAAAATCATTAATAACACAAATTCAATTTATGAAAATTTTAAAATTGTATATATAAACCCTTTACGTCATTTTTTGAGGCAAATACACCAATTGTTTGATAAAAAGTGGAACTTAATGATTGGAACATGAATACAAGGGCATGATCTGCATAGTCTTTATGGCTGTCATTAGATAAGTCATTTCCATAATCTTCTAATCCTGTGTATGTTAGTGTGGAAGTGTTGACATGTAAGCTTTTACGTAGATTAACAGAATCGAATAATAGTACGCCATGTTTATCCATACTAGACATAGTTTCAACTCTTTTTGAAAGTAATTGTAAGAAATCTTGGTCAAACCCACATGTAGTTTTAATTAATGATAGATGATTTCGAACTGTCTTTGGATGTGAAAGTGGTAATAATGCACTTGTCCTTAAATATTTGTATGCACTAGGAGAGCGTATATTAAGTAGCAAACATAACATTAACCAATTTTCTGAGTATCTTCGTGATTTTGGATTTTTAGTCTTACTAGCAGCAAAAAATTCAAGTATCAATGTTTTTTGGGATTCATTCATTCCTTGGCACTTTTCTATAATTGATTTTTCACTGTAATTTTCCATCTGTTTTTTTATTTTTCACAATTCTAATTTGAAATTTAATATAGTTTGCTTACTTCTAATACATTTTTTTTGGATATTGTGACAAGTTCTTCTTAGTTTGTAAATTACTGGTTTTTTAGATGATGATAAAAAAATTTTTGGTTTGCAACCTTCTCTCTTTCGTAGTTGACGCATTAATAAAACATTTCGTAGCCTGCTACATCTCAGGCAATTTTTCTTTTTATCTTTTATAATTTTAAGACAATTGTTATGCACTAATTGACCAGCTGAAGATAATTTACATATTGCCTTTGGCACATTAGAAAATTCATCTGATTTAGGTATTACATGACAAAATTTAATTTTTTCAAACGCATTGATATTCTCTTTAAATTCATCTATATTTGTAGCTGGATTAATACCAAGAATTGAACTGTCAACTATTTGATCAAAAATACCAAAAATAATTGTACCAGATTTTTGTACTTTTATAAATTTTTCAATAATAGGAATTGATTCACCCAAGTGAAAAGTTACAAAACAAAAACTTGATACATCCTCAGTTTCTTCACATTTTGGTGAACATAAAGGCCAATTTATAACACAATGAATATTTTCACATACCAAAATTTCATTAAATAAATAACAATTTTCATACTCTTCACTATAACAAGATGATTCATTATGTTCAAAAATTGTGTTTAAATTACTATTACATTGTTTTTCTGTATTGCATTGTGATTGAACAGGAACTGCTTTGCGGCCTAATCTTTTTTTTTTTTACTTTAGAAGAAAGATAAGCTGGTCCTGGAAAAATTGATGGCACAGCATCTTCTCTGCGTTTAATGACCTTATAATGACCTTATAAGGTATCTGTGAGATAAAGATTAAATAAGTTAATACATAAAATAATACTGTATAGTGTACAGGTAAAACTTTATATTAAAAACTTAAACAATGTTTTGAACAATCATTTATCAATATTTTTAATAGGTAGCCAACATTTTTGAATAATTCAATATAGAAAATAAAATATTTATTTGTTTAGTGAAACAAGTGAAATAATCTGATTTTTTTTTAAAAAATACATTCATTTGACTCAACCCAATTTATAACTTCAGCATAGCAAATAATTGAAAAACGGTTGAAATAATGCAGCACAACAAATTCATACGTCTTTTTGATAAAATAAAAAACGATTTGTCATATATTTGTAAGTTGAATGAATCGTGCAGTGACCATTCCGTCAAATAGTGTGGATGGGAACTATGGAGGGATAAAATCCAGCAAGCTACACTCGCGACCGTCAGTAATATATTACGATCGTTCTCTCGTGTGCGGAGTAATAGTATTTTAAATAAAGTATTTTCTTCAATGATTTCGGGTATACATGAGCCAATGTTACCATTTGAAAACTTGATATGCCCAATATTCTTTGGAGGTTTATTTGCTTATTATTTAAAATACCAAAGTAAATACTTAGATACATATCATGGCATAATTTAATTTTTGGTCTTTATACATTCTTTAATCGGGCTGTTATGTTTGTAGGATAATGATACATATGTTTATTTAATTAAATGGAATTAAATGACACGAAAGAAAACATAAGGTAATTTTTAATATTTAATAAAATACAAAAAGATACAAATTATATGAAAAAAAGCCATATTGACTAATAACGACAAAACTATATATTTTTAAGGTTAAGTGCACTCGAATATTTACAGCTACATCAAACCGTCATGGAACAAAACATTAATACGAAAATAATTTCAAAAACTAGGCAAATGACAGAGTTTTTAATAACACAGCCAAACACAACTTCTTCTTCTGAGGTTAGTTACTCTATACTCGATTTGATTGTTTTTATAATTATTTATTATTAAATAGTAGTTAATAGTTACTACTACTAAACGTAATAATAAATATTAAATAATAAGTAAAAAAATATATTTTCTTGTTTATGTTTAAGGCGCCCCCACAATATATTCCGCCCAGCGGACACCACATACACAAGACCGCCCCTATTGTAAAAGTTTTACAATAATAAAGTATACAGGATATATTACCAGAAGGATGAAGTTTAATGATGGTTGGTTAATTTCAATATCTTCATTAAAAATGCTGTTTCATTCCTTAAATCAAATTAAAGTTACAAATTATGTTCTTTATACAAGGTGTCTGAATCATGATAAATTAGAAAATTGATTTTGTTATTTCCGCTAACAGCATGGAAACAATTTTAATCCTACACCAATCGCGTTTTCTCGGTCATTTAAAAAAATTTTTTGTGCTAGTTATTTCAAACATTCTCCAGGTACAAATTGCATTGATGATTTAAATCTATCATAATCTGAAAAAATTCTTAATTTGAAGGATCAGATATAAAAATCTTTTTAAATTTAAATGTATTAGCATTGGTACAGTTCATTATAGACTTCAACGCGTGGAACACCGAATGGGGATCCAGAGTGAACAACCCCAGGGGTTGCTTCCTGTCCGACTTCGCAATCAGCCTCGGTCTGCTACTGGCAAACTCTGGGTCTGTCCCCACGTTCGTGAGAGGAACGGCCACGTCCGTGCTCGACGTCACGTTCCACCGAGGACTGAGCCTGACCGGCTGGCGGGTCCTGGAGGTTGATTCGCTGAGCGACCACGCTTCCGAGCAGCAGACGCCTCCACCTCACGAACCGCATCCAGCGGCCTACCATGGCTAGTCGGTCAAAAAGAGAGACGCTGAAGCCCTCTTCAACTACCTCCGGGCCGCGCGCCAAGAAACCGCTGAGGGACCTATAGGTGCGGACAGGGCTTTGGCTTCTGCGAGAGCGCTGGACGACTTCTTCACCGGTGCGTGCGAGGCGTCTACGCCGAGGTGGAGACTGGGTCCCCCGGGCAAACGCCCGGTCTACTGGTGGACAGAGGAAATCGCGGAGTTACGGCGGAAATCCCTAGCCTCCCGTCGGGTGTACCAGAACCACCTGAGATCCGTGGACCAGCGCGGAATGCAGGAGGCGCGATTCGATTTCATCTCCGCCAGGAGGAATCTCCGTTCTGCAATCCGCGAAGCGAAGAGGAAGTGTTGGTCCGACCTATGCGACCAGGTAGAAGTGGATCCCTGGGGCAAGCCTTACAAATTCGTAATGGGGAAACTTGGCTCCCGCAACCGGGGCGCGGGCTGTAGAGGCAGAGAGGCCGAGATAGCAGACTTCCTCTTCCCCCCCCCCCCCCCCGACGAATTGGGACGAGGCACCCTCTCCGGTTGTCCTAAACCTGTTCGAGGACTTCGACCCTGTCTTGAACACCCCTACATGCTCGAGGGTGATCGCTCTGTTCACGGCCGACGAGCTGTCCCGGCCCACCAAGAGACTATCGTCAGGGAAATCCCCAGGGCCATCGGGAATTCCTAACGAGGTGCTAAGGCGATACGTGATGACTAGACCCAGGGCCGCACTGAGCGTCTACAATGACTGTCTATAGGCCCTTATCTTCCCACCGCGTTGGAAGAAGGCTCGGCTCGTGCTCATCCTGAAAGGGCCAGATAAACCCCCCGAAGCTACTTCTAGCTATAGACCCATATGCTTGCTAGACACTCAGGGTAAGCTGTTGGAGAGACTTCTCCTCCAACGTCTCGAGGCTCACCTGGATAAGCACGGCGGCCGTAGAAGGGGGGCGAACCAGTTCGGGTTTCGTAAAGGTATTTCCACCGAGTCGGCAATAGATATGGTCCTGTCCATAGCAACAAATGCCACATCTGGCACCAAGGATCTCTGCGTCCTGGTGACGTTGGATGTGAAAAATGCTTTCTATTCGCTCCGTTGGCCGGTCATCGACGAAGCTCTCCGGAGGAAAAACGTCCCCGAATATCTCGTGGAGATGCTTCGGTCCTGGCTCACGGACAGGGCGCTCCTAACCGGTGATGAGATGACTCCGCGGCTGGTTACGTGCGGGGTGCCCAGGGGTCGGTCTTGGGCCCGACACTGTGGAACGTAGCCTACGACTCACTCCTAGAGATGAACGTCCCACGTGGGGTCCACCTTGTCGGGTTCGCCGACGATCTCGCGGTGGTGGGCGTGGCCAGTACGGGCCAGCTGTTTGAGGACGCCATCAAACCGGTCCTTCGGTCCATCGACGCCTAGATGACGAGCAGGGGTATCGAGCTCGCTCACCACAAGACCGAGGCAGTCATCCTATCCATGAGGTGGGCCTTCGTCCCCCCTCGCCTCGAGGTCGGCGGTCACGCGATCGCCCTGGTGAAGGACCTGAGGTACCTCGGAGTCACGTTACGTGCAGCTCGTGGCGAAAAAGGCTACAGCTTTGGCAAAGCTCATGCCGAACATCAGCGGGCCGGGGCAGTGGAAGAGGCGCCTACTGGCCTCCGTAGTGGAGAGTCAGCTCCTCTATGCCGCCCCCATCTGGTCAGCCGCAGTCTCGGCGTCCGTGAGGACCACCAGCGCGCTAATACGCCCCCAAAGAGTAGTCGCTCTGCGAGTGACAAGGGCGTATCGGACGGTGTCCGACGAGGTCACTCTTCTACTGGCGTACATGCTGCCTGCTGACCTGCTCGCGCAAGAGAGGGCGAAGTTGAGAAGGCGTCGCGAACAACCCACACTTCCAGGAGCTCCGCCGATGTCTTTGGCCCTGATGAAGGCCACCGAGAGGGAAGCGACCCTGGGGCTATGGCAACTGCGGTGGGCCTTTTCGCCTAAGGGCCAGTGGACGAGGCGTCTCATCCCGGACGTCAGGAGGTGGATGCGCAGGCCTCTCGCGGAGATACCGATGACGTTCCGGAGGACGCAAGCGCTCTCCGGCCACGACTGTTTCCAGTATTACCTTAATCGAATGGGCAGGGCCACCAGTCCTCTGTGCGTGCAGTGCAGGGACGCCGTGGACACGGCTGAGCACACCCTGCTGTCCTGTCCCTACTGGGAACACTTTATGGTCGAACTCGCAGGTCGCGTGGGCCATAGGTTATCGGTGAGAACACTTTCTGACATAATCTGCAAGGTAAGCCTCCATCTTGTGGTAAGGTCCCTCCGCTGATATCTTGGGCTCATCAGCTCCGAGAGCTTCGGGGGCAAAAATTTGCCCCCCGAGGGCCACCATCAATAAGACCTCGAAAACCATAACCCTCCAGCCCCCCCCCCCCAAGGGGCCGCTGCCTGCAAAATCGCCAACCCCCAGGACCAAAACCCTAAAGCCAGTATGTCCGATAACGATTTATACATGCTGGAGGAAGACAGTGAGGATACTGACGTGCGTAACATGTCGCCCACCTCCCGGTACCTCGTCACGGGCGAGCTTCCTACGACGTCAGGAAAGAAAAAAATTGACACTAGCGAAAGCCCTAGCGCCGAACAGGACCCGTCCGACATTGAGGCAGGATTGAAATTTATCAGGTTGATATTACATTCCGCGGTCAACGTGACTAAAATGAAACCTAACAAGGATGTCCCAAGGATCCCCCTCCTGGAGTCTCTTCTGGCTGAAATATCCAAGGTCCTGGACGGACTCCTGACAAAGAAGGGCAAGCTTGTCTCCCCTCCCGCGTCCCCGTCCCTTAAGGCAAAATACAGCGAACCAGAGAGACCTGTCACGGCCGATGCGAGTACGGACACTATTCTGACCTCGAGCTGGTGGGACAGCGAGGAAGCGTTTGAGGCGGATCGCAGGAAGAATAAGAGCTTGCGTAAGCCACAAGAGGCTGGTTGGCCTAAGCTCGGCCAAAACAAGGGGACTGAGGCAGAGTCGGCCCTGGACACGGACGCGGAAGCACCGTGGTCCAACGTCGCCAAAATAAACATGAAGAGGCGGTAGACCGTCATGGATCCTCGCCCACCCGCCACCGCGGCACGTCCAAGCCCTCCCGCTACACAATGACCGTCTACCAAACCGAAGAAGTCGCCAGCCATCCTGATAAGACCGGCCACGGGCAAATCGCACACCGACACCGTGCGAACCGCACACTCGTGCGGTCTATCGGCACAGGAGATCGGGACAAACGTGACGATGATGGGATGGGTTACTGTTGCTCGAGTTGGCCAAGGCGTCAAAATCCGCAGCAGCGGCCAAGACCATCGCTCAGGCCATCCACGCCAAGCTCAGGGATTCTGTTGGGAAGGTGTCCCAACTTGGCGTCCAGACAGAGGTAGAAATCCTCGATTTGGACTCTGTTTCCACCGCAGCTGAGGTTCTTGAAGCGCCGCCATTCCGGGAGAGAATGAGTCAGCAACAGCAGCCGAACTCGAGGCTATCTGCGACGTTCGCATATGGTCGGTTCGAGCGGGCCAATAAATCGCGACGCCCAAGATGAGTCGTCATGCGGCATCTATAATAACTAAGGTTCCGGTAGGCTGGACAGTGTGCCGAGTCTGCCCCAGGACCCTCCCCCTCAAGAGATGCTTCAGGTGCCAGGCCTTCGACCACAACTCCAGGAACTGTAAGGCACAGGACAAGACGGGCGCCTGTTGGAGGTGCGGCGAGGCCGGCCACTCCATGAGAGAGTGTAAGGCCGAGGAGGATCGCTGTCTGGCGTGCGAAATGGTGGGTCTAAGAAAGACGACTCACAAACCCGGTTCAGGCGCCTGCGTGGCGAGAATACAGGCCGCCGGCTCAAAGGCCACTATCCAGCGAAATGATTAACTTCCTCCAAATCAATTTAAATAGGAACTGGGCCGCAGAACAGCTCATGTTCCAGACAGCCGTCGACTCAGAGGCGGATATCCTGCTGGTCAGCGAGCCGTTCTACAAATATGGACGCGAAGACACGTGGTGCCTAAGCACCGATGGATTGGCAGCAGTGGCGGTTACTCAACGCACACCACTCACCCACGACGGTCAGGAAGCGAGCGATGGGTTCGCCTGGATGCAATTCGGAGAGCTGACAGTGTTACTGGAGGCTCGGAACTACAATACATGAGTTTAAACTCTTCTTAAGCCGTCTCGAGCTAGAAGCAAATCATCCTCGTAGGCGACTTTAACACGTGGAACAATGAGTGGGGCTCCAATGTTCGTGAGGGGCACGGCCACGTCCGTGATCAACGTCACCTTCTTCCGCGGCCTGGACGTCGACGGGTGGCAGGTCCTGGAGGCAGACTCACTCAGTGACCACGCCAAGTACCGCCGCACGAACCACACCGAAGCTGGTCGGTCATTCAGCAGGATGCCGAAACTCTAGGGCAGTACTTTGATACCAGGCCCATGGACCCAGCCATCGGCCCAACGGGGACCGACAAAGCCCTGGCTTCGGCGAGATCCCTCGACGAATATTTGGTCGGCGCCTGTGAAGCATCGATTCCGAGAAGGAGACCAGGGCCCCCGAGGAAAGTACCCGTTCACTGGTGGACCGCCGAGATCACCGAGCTCCGCCGCATCTGCCTGTCCCTTCGAAGGGCATACCAGAGTCGCCTGAATCGTGCTGGTCAACCCGGAGTACAGGCAGCAAGAATCGAATTCACCGCCGCGAGAAGAAACCTATGCTTCAAAATAAGGGAGTCGAAAAAGAAATGCTGGGCAGATCTGTGCAGTCAGGTGGACAACGACTGCCTTCTTGCACTCACTTACCCGCCCCAATGGAAGAGGGCCAGACTGGTGTTGACTGTTGATACGAAAAGCCGAGTCGCCCTCCAGCTACAGGCCGATATGCATGCTGGACACGCCGGGAAAGCTCCTACAGAGGCTTGAATCCCATCTCGATGCCCACGGAGGAAGGAGGAGAGCCTCCAATCAGTACGGGCTCCGCAAGGGCGTCTCTACCGAGTCTGGTGTGAGTAAAGTACTCGCCATCGCCGCAAGCGCCGCGTCGGGGAGAGGCCCCAAAGACCTGTGCATGCTGATAACGCTTGATAAATGCTTTCAACTCTCTGCGTTGGCCCATCATAGACGAAGCCCTCCGGAGTAAGAACACCCCGGAGTACCTGGTCGAGATGCTTCGATCCTGGCTCACCGACAGGCAGCTACTTACCGGCGAGGAACAGACCGTTAGGCGGGTCTCGTACTAAAAAAAAATAAACTCAAGCTTTCCGACGAAGCACAGAACCTTATAAATATCGAATAAATAAAGTAAAAATGTATATACAAAAAAGTTAATTTTTCCATTGTGCACTAAATCCATTAAATAATAAAGCATCCTTTTTAACTATGATGTGTATGTGGTGTATCCAACACTGTGTCTTTGACGGACGTGAGTTCACCTCTTGTCTGTTGTTTTGCGTTGTACCAGAATTGGTTAATATTTTTTTTCTCGCACAATATAGGTATGCAGTGTATTCTTCATACCAAAACTCCTGGCAATACAGGGTCTAGGACACTTCGCCGCCACCGTTTCGTCGTTAAATATACCACCACAACTCGTACCAGAATATACCAGAGATCCAGCAGTGACACCAACAAAAAGAAATAATTTACAGTGATGCCTAGTTAGCGGCACTCGTCGCTACGCTCCTCGGCGCCGTCGCTCCGCCAGTGGCGTAGCCAGCGGGTAGGCCTGGTAGGCCCGGGCCTACCCACTTTTTTCCAAAAAAATTTTTTTATCCTTTTAAATATGTAGTGTATATGACTATAATATGTATTTAAAATAATAGAATTAATATTAATATTAAAACCGTATTTACAATATTATTGTAAAGACGGTTTTAATCATCGAAATTAAATCCTGATGGTTTTTAATCGGTTCTGCAAATCAGTTAATGACACGTCTTTTATTTTGAGTGTTATGGTTTAATAACCGATAAATTCCTGTTAATCGGCATCCGTCGAAATGTATAGTGCATCAAAGCCAGTGTATAATATAATATTAAAGCCCGACAGCCCGTATTGCCCGTTTCCTACAATATGATAGATATTAATCTTATCCATTCAATTGACGATTATTTCCAAAAATAACGAGACGGTAATATAAGTTGTAGTCGGATAGATACGCTTGCGATTGACGATTAGTTTAATACTAATCGCACTGCGTGTCTGCGTCACTCCGTTCAAATTTAATACAACTTAGTGATTATATTTCGCTTATATTTTTACTTAGTCCGTCGCGTTGCTCGAAAAATGGAACGTTTTTTAATCACACCAGGTAATTTAAAATCAACTGCTGTTTCAACTGTTTCGGAGCCTAATGACCCTGAATCAAGTGCGCGTACACCAATATCAGATACAAATAAACAGTTGAATTTAAACATTTTTGATATTAGTGTAACTTGTGAGGATACCGCTGTACAACCTGTCATCAGTTTTCCTCGTACTTTTATATCTGGGAAGCAACGTAGCTTTCAAAGCAGTTGGTACAATAAGTACCCATGGTTGGAATACTCAATTAAAATGAATGCCGTATTTTGTTATTATTGTCGTCATTTTCCTTCTCATTCGCAAATTGAAAAAGATGTTCTAATTACTGGTGGATATTGTGATTGGAAAAATATAAGTAACATGACTAAAAAACATGATAAGACTACTTCACATAAAAATGCAATTGCTAAATATGGCGCATGGCTATCAACCAAAAAAACTGGATCAGTTTCGACTCAAATAAATAAACAAGTCAAGGAGCAAGTTATAAAAAATCGAGCTATTTTAACAAGTGTAATAAGGTGTGTTTTATATTGTGCACGGCAAGATATCGGACTACGAGAACATCGAAGAGAAAGAAATGAAGAGTTCAATAGTGAAAATTATGATGCAAGTTTGTGTTCACGTCATGACGTAAATGAAGGTAACTTTTTAGAAATTATAAAATTACTATCCATCGAAAATGAACATTTTAAAACAAATTTTAATTTATTACCTAAAAATAGCAAATAAATATCGCCTGAAATACAAAATGATATAATAAAAGCTACTTCAAAGCTTGTATTACAATTAATAGTAAATGAAGTTCATATTGGGAGCCAGATATTTAGTTTAATTGTAGATGAGGCAAGAGATCAGTCAAAAATTGAACAAATGAGTATTTGTATTCGATATTTGCACAATTTAAAAATTAAAGAAAGATTTTTAGGTTTTGTAGAATTGAACGATTTAAATGCTCAAGCACTGTGTGATGGCATAATATTTTTTTTAAATAATGTTGGTTTAGATGTTTCAAATTGTGTAAGTCAATCATATGATGGGGCGTCAGTAATGTCCGGAGCTTTTTCTAGTGTTCAAACAAAAATAAGGGAATTAGCACAAAATCCGTGTCCGTATATTCATTGTCATGCTCATAGGTTAAACCTAGTTCTAGTTGATGTAACGAAAAATATTCAAGAAGTAGATGAAATACTTGGTTTATTAGAAGCTATTTATGCATTCCAATCGGTATCTACAATTCGTCATCATGCTTTTTTACATGAAACCAAGTATAAAGTACCACAACATTGTGAAACAAGGTGGGTTTCAAAACACAAGGGTATTACATTTTTTAAAAATCATTTTATTGATATTTTAAAAGTTCTTAATGCATTTAGAGAAAGTACTAAAAAACAAGAAGCTGCAGAGGCAAAGGGTTTGGCCATACAGTTTGCTAAGTTTGAAGTTATCATAATAATTGTGTGCTTAAACGAAATATTAAATATCATTAATTGCTTATCAATTAACCTGCAATCAACTACTCTTGATATAAAACGATGTACATTTTTAATTAATGCAACCAAGCAACAAATATTAGATTTACGTAATGATGAGAAGTTTTTTGAACTATATGAGCAATCATTGGTTATTGCTCAAAATTCTAAAATACCTACGCCATCAAGTGATAATTTGTCATCAAAAAGAACACAGCAAAATTCAAGTACTTTGGCCGATTATTATGTAACTATTACCACTGGTAAACGTAAAAGAATGGCTTATTCATCTGATGACATGAAAACAGAGCAAAAAAGAATATTTTTTAATATTTTAGACGTAATATATTTCGAAATGAACCGGCGTTTTAATACAAAGGATGATATGTATGCAACTTTAGAAGCTTTAGACCAAAATTCATCAACCTTTTTAGACAGTGAAATAATTTGTCGTTATGCTGAAACATTTCCATTTTATCGATCAAATGAATTTATTACCAAATTAAAATGCCAATGTCAACTGGGAAAAACCTTATTTTTATCTGTATCTGATATTTTTGAATTATATCAAGAAGTAAAAAAATACAAAGTTGGATTTGAAGAATTAACAAAAATTATTGAAAATGTTTTGGTAGTTCCAGTATCTAGTGCCTCAGCAGAAAGGAATTTCTCGACGATGAAAAGAGTAAAAACATATCTGAAGTCAACGATGACAAGTAGCAGACTAAATAATTTAACTTTGCTGTCTATTGAGAGAGAAATAAGTGGAAAATTCATAGAAAATCCATCTGCTGTAATTGACGAGTTTGCATCAATGAAAAAAAGAAAATTAGAATTTTCAATCTAAAACTATTTTAATAAAGCTATATCTTTTTTATTAATTTAATTTTATACTTTTAGTTTTACAATATAAGATAAATCTGTGTAATATGCCTATAATAAATGTAGAACATACGGTATTCTGATACTTTTTTATTTTATAAAACTATTCATTGGTAATCCTTACATCAAAATATCGGGCCTACCCAAAAAAAAGTGTCTAGCTACGCCACTGCGCTCCGCTCCGCAAATCGAAAATATCCCTTGACTTGTTATGCAACACCACCTAAAGTTGGTCACAGTGTAACGGCTGTTATACCATAGTACAACTACTCTTATCATTCAAAAGCTTATCACTACCGAAACGGTGGCGGCAAAATGTCCAGGTCCGAGAAATACAGTTGGTTATGTCATACTGCATGGTCAGTACTCGGTTTCCATCGGACTGGACGACGGGCACGATGCTTTTACATACGTCATGCACCGGATTGTGTTCAAGCACGTAGACGTGTTCTTCATGTACTTCGTGTCTGACAACACGAACATGTGTAAACTGTGGTACGGCGTAAAAAAGGGTGAAACCGCTTGCCAATGTCAGAAGGATATTAGTGGTAATCGTAGTGTGACCGCAATACCAACGAATAACATGTGTAGTGACTATGTAAAACAGTAGGTATTGTCACCAACATTGGCTTTTTGAATTATAATCGTTTGGCGGGGTTTTCGTACTGTGAGTTTTGTGTTGAGGTATCGGTTCGTATCGTGCGACACATTTACAATCTAGCTGGGAAAAATGTCTTAAAGTTGTCACAACTGTATTTAGAATATATATATAAATATAAATGTTCTTAATATATCTAATAAATTAATATGTATGATTTGCAACTTCTAAAACATCGGTGTTTTGCCATAGATGCAGTATTACCTAATGGTTTTATACACAGCTGTTGTTTTTATGAAAAAAACGTATCCCTTGAAGTATAATATAAATTGACGTAATCATCCGTTTCGTGTGATTTTTTTTTTCTTTGTTAGCTTAAAGTATGATAACATAACAATGAAACTTCATTCTTATCAGAATATGTTATGAACAACTACCAAGTTATATATTCAATAAACAATAAAGATTATAAATACTGATAAAGTTATAATAGTATAACACTCGCAACAGTCGCAACTCGCTCAGCAATTTGAATTTTAGTAATTTTACATATTAATGAGTAATAAAATTAAAAATAAAAGAATGGTAAGACAATATTAGATAAGTAAATTATGAATTTTGATTTAAAAACAACAACATTTCAGCTTTTTTTGTGTTCAAGCAACAACGGCGATCGGAAATTAAAAGACCTGCCTTAGAATAGACAAGCTCGCATGGAACAGATGATCCTAGACAACATAACATCCTCCTTGCCAAAACATTTAAATATGGGTAATTATACTTATGATCTTGCCACCATTCTAGTGCATCACAGTTTCTTTTTAATACCGGTTCTTCTATATAACGTTGCACCTCTACGATAGCCCGTGATGTTGATGTTCCAATCGAAGGCTGCATTTGGGAAACACATTTATCGATTGACTCCCAAATTGAAAATGGCTTCATGTTCAATTGATGTAGATTCTTATATGTATGCCGAAATAATCTGTGCTGTGAGTTCCACTATATCATTCTTTACTGAGTTAAGCATGTGTTCGTTGTGAATGAATGGTAAGTTCTTAAACCGTGGATCAAGAAACGTACATATTTTTAAGGTCTTGCTATTTTCTATAATTCCCCAATTTTGACGATCTCTCATTCCATTTAATAAATTATTAACTAACCTTAAAGTCCTGAAAGAATAATTTTCATTTTTCATAGACATTTTTCAGCCCTTGAGCAATAACTATAACTAATGAAGCAGTTATGTACTGATCTCCGCTCACAGCTCTAGGAGCTTTTTCAAAAGGTCGTAAAATATTACAAAACTCTTTGATAAATATCCATTCATCGGAATTCAAAAAAGGTGGTGCACTGTCCAATAGTCCCATTGTTCCCCGTATAGAAATCTCCAAGCATGTAGAATGTGGAATTCCACCTCGCGGCTACATCTTGTTACACACTTTTAGTGGGACATAGACCCCCATATTTTTTTGATATGCAACTAATTTATTATTTGCATTTGTACTCTTCCGAAAATGAGTACAAATCTTTTTGACTTTATCAATGAGATCATTTTCTTTTTTTAAGTGCAGATTGAACAATAAGGTTTAGGGTGTGAGCAAAACAACCAAAATGTTTAAATTTCAACTGTCCTAATGCATTTTGAATGTTGTAGGCGTTGTCAAATACAGCAAATAGTATTTTTTGTCTTAAATTCCAATCATTTAAAGTTTTATTAATTTGCTCAGAAAGATTATCGCTTGTGTGGTTCTCAATAAAGGAATGGCAATTTAATAATATAGACTTCAAATTGAAATTGTTGTTAATAAAATGGAGTTATGGCGATGTAACTTTTGTTATCCCTAGACGTCCAGCAATCTGTTGTTAAACAAGCCATGTCTAATTCATTTACTATTATTGATTTAACCTCATTCACACACTTTTCATACGCTGCTGGAATAAGTGTTTTGGAAATGGCATGGCGGTTGGGAATCTTGTAGCCTGGGTTTAACATATTTACAAACTCTTTAAACCTTGTGTCTTCTACTACACTAAAAGGCTGTAGATCTTTTATAAAAAGTTTCATGAGTGCAGTATCTAATTTTTTTTTGACCATCAACAGACATTTTTTTGTGAGTAAAATTTGTAATTGCCAACTGTCTATTACGTTTTAATGGATTATATTTTGAAATTGGTGTTATCTCATGTACAGAATTTGCCTGGTTAACAATACTACAGCTTGGTTCAGTCAGTGCACTTAGACTCTTTGCTACATTAGCACATGAAGAACTAGGTACAGGATCGTCAATATCAACTGCAGGCTCATTCTATATAAATTAATAAAATATTTAAAAAAATAATTTTATAATATTTTAAATAATATTGAATATAAATAAAATGTATTGTATATTTGTATTTTCATTCAGTATGTGAAGTAGAGTAAACAAATTTTGAAACAAAAACTTCTACTACTTTTTGTGTATTTAAGTTGAATGCAAATTTGAAATCAATATTATTTAATGTGAAGGTTACCAGTAATGTATCAGTTTCTGTATATAAATATATCAAATGAACATTGTTGAGATGCTTTTTTAAGTTTGACAAACTAGTTTTGTATGAATAATTTTTATTACAAATATCACACTTAGCTATACTTTAGAAAAATGCTTCCAAATGTCACTCGTTTTCCTATCTTGACTCATTTTGAATTGTTTTACAATAAAACAAAATTAAGTTCCCAACTTGTAATAGGTAGTGTGTGCTGTCTAGTGTCTTAACATTCAACACTAACAAAATAGAAATATCCTGTCCTCACTCTATACACATTAAATGTTTATTATTTGTACCATAATTTTTACAATTGGGTATTTTTATTTTTATTGTTGTAAAAATCTACATTTAGACATGTATAAATAATAAATATGCCATAAATAAATATAAATAGGTCAGTGGCAGATTAAGCAATTTGCCGCCTACAAGCAGGAGATTTCCCACTCTTTCATCATCAACAATTTTTTTATTAAACAAAAATAGATAAAGAAATATATTGTTAATTAAATTATTCTTTATTATTTTAAAATTAATACAATAGGTAGTCAATACGATTACAAAAATTTATTTTCGTTCGGCTTTTGAGGTTTGCAAATGTATCAATTATGTCTCACCTAAAGGCTAATACCTATTAGTTATAATATAATATTATAGGTATACGTTTTTTTAAATCATCTTCTTAGCTTGCCTGTAGGGTAATCCGAGTCCTGACACTGCACATTAGTATAATACACAGCGATTCTATCCCAAAATACTCGTAATCAATTTATTATTCTAATACATGGGTCATATACTATATAGTAATTAGTAACAGTCACAATTTTTCAGTAACAGTTACTTGGAATAACAATATCTGACAAGTAGCAGTTATTTGGAATAACAGTATAACACTATCTGACAAGTAGCAGTTATTTAATATGATTCTAAAATATTAACGTAAAGTAGCAGTCACTGCTATTTTCACTGTTATTTTTTCAGTAACAGTAGCTACTGCTACTGAAAAAAAATCACAGTTAACCATCACCATGTATATTATACTGCACGACTGAGCCGCCGATCACCGCCAGACACCGCGGCGATCGCTTTGCATTCTGATTAGTAGAGTCATCGGTGACCGCTCTCGATGCACAGCGCTAGTGTCGCCGCAGTGCATACAGAGAATCATCATTGGGGTTAACGTATTTTTGCAATTAATCAGATTAGAATATAAACAAACACGCAAACGTAATATTACACTATGCATTCTATTTTTGTAATAGCTTACATACCAAATTAAATTAGGAAGCATTCGTATACAATGTTTATAAAATACAAATTTTGTAAAAGATACACCTCAATATAATACAATTTTCAATTTCAATTTTTGAATGAAAAAAGCTAGACTTTTAGTAAGTACTGAAAATGGTTAAAGGTTGCCTGCAAATGATCTGGTGTAATCACATGCGCCAAGAGGCTAACTTATGTTATTAAATCACACCTAAATGTTTCATTAGAATAATAATTTTAACTACCTATCTTGTTGTAATTTAAAAATATTATTCATGGGTAAATGAAACTATTAATGTATATTAGGTATTATATTTTATACACAGAATGACATTTTCAAATACAAAGTTACTTCAACCTATTGCATTATTAATAGTAAAATAAAAATATAATTACCAGGGTTCGGGACTTATAGCACTTAAAATCATCAAAATAAGCGCTTGAAAAAGCACTTAAAAACATGATTATAAGCACTAAAATAGCACTTAAAATTTTAAAAAATCACGAAAAAAACTAAATGCAATTTTTCTTTATTACATTATTTTAACACTTTAAATCAAAAAAAAAAAAAAATATGTTACAAATATCAAATCTTTTTGAGTAGGTTAGGTACTTCTTATAGATTTTCTGAAAAATAAATAAATTTTTTTTAAGAATAACTAAAGAAAAATTGATTAATTTAAAAAAAAATGTATTTTAAAATGTTTCTTACCTTCTCTATTGCATTGAATAATTAGATGTTTTCTTAAATTTTCAAACTCAAAAGCCCTTCTGTTGTTTGATAGTATTGTTTTAAATGCCGAAAACGAACGCTCAACATCTACGGATGTGATTGGCGCGTATTTAAAGTATACGATATCGTCGAATTCTAAATAGTTTTTTCTATGGCAAAAATGATGCATATTGCAAAGACGATCGAACCGATTAGTAGATAAGCACACAAATGCGGGTCCCGGTGTTTATTACTGAGAAATATGATACAAAGTAGAAAAAATATTTTTAATTCTAGCCTTACCAGTTACCGTGGAAAAAAATAGAAACTAACTAAAACTTCTAGGTTTACGTGTCATAATTAAGAAAAACTGGTCAAAAAAGCAAAAATTATCAAAATAACTTGAAATAAGCATTTTTTTGAAAAATCGCTGAAAAAAGCAAAAAAAAGCACATTCAAATTTCATAATTGAACGTGTTGTAACATGACATACACTTCTATAGCACTCTGCTACATTTTAAGTCAATCCATAAAAATAAGCAAATGCTATAAGTCCCGAGCCCTGATAATTACTAATCAAGTTGTAAATTTATTAATGAAGTTGAAAAATGATTATAACTTCGGGACGGTCTTGTAAAAGATACTTTAAAAGTATTCAAGTATATATATAAATACTTTTTTTTCATACAAAAATGTATTTTACCTTTTTGACTTGACCTAATGAAATTATATGTAATTTAACCATTAGTAAACTGAATTTATTTTCAATTTGAGCACTTTCTGCTTTTACTGAAATAAATTAAAATATAAAGATATAAAAGCAGCATATTTTGATCTTTGTGTATATACTATCAAATATTAAAACTTGGATGTAATGTATTGTACAGACATGAGTAGTTACTAGCTACATCCTATATGAAAGTGGCAGTGTAGCAATACATTTTTAGTTATTTTATCATCAAAAAAATATCTTTTTTTTTTTAAATAATATTTTTATTAAAAGTGACAGTCGGTCAGTGTTGCCGGGTTGGGCGATCGTTCGTGAATTTGGTTATCCTTATGTGGTTATTGTTAGGAAACTTTAACCGGCTAGGGATCAGTAGAAGTTAAAATAAAGCTCAAGTCAGGATTCTGGTACCTAGGTATACATAATTACGACGAAGTGTGTGGTATTCGGCGTTTAAACATTTTAAACGGTATTTGACTTATAGGCTAACTTCGATTGATAAGGACTCATCCCTCAGTGCCTGTTTCTTCATGTTCTTATACTGAACAGCCGATTCAAAGTTCAACGACGAGTGCTTTGCCGATTTCTAGTAATGTTGGTCTTCGATGTATTAAAGATGAAGCAATAAGGGCTGAGCTTTTATGGACAATGAAATGTGTCTGGTCTAATTATTCTGCTTCATCATGTGACGGAATTGTTAATATATTTAAAGTGATGTTTCCTAAAATAATTCCAGATGAGTTTTCTCTTGGCAAAAGTAAATTTGGGTATTATGTAACTGAAGCTCTAGGCCCATACTTCAGAAAACAGTTGCTGGCAGATGCAAGCAATGCTTATTATTCATTACATTTCGATGAGACAACCAACTCTGCTGATTTTAAAGAGTTGCAAGTTTCTATACAATATTGGTCAGAACATGAAGAAAAAATTTTATTCAAACATCTAGAAACTTTTTTTAATGGGAAAGCTACAGGTGATATTTTAGCAGATAACCTTTTAAACGCTTTGAAAAATGCAGATTTGCCCCTTACAAAATTACTTATGTTGGCAAGGGATGTTCCTAATGTCAACAAAAAAGTCCAGTCTATAATAAATGAAGTTGTACGAAAGAAACGAGGGACATCTTTGCTTGATATTGGGTCATGTAATTTGCATATTGTACACAATGCCTTTCGCAAGGGGTTAGAAACATTTGGAGCTGATATTGGTGATATGGTAATAACTGTGAATGCATTTTTTGATGGATGGCCAAGTCGTCAAAAAGCTTTCTTGGATGCACAGATGAAATTCAACGTACCACAGCATTGTTTTGTAAAACACATTAACTCTAGATGGCTTACCCTGTCTACTGCTGCAAAAAGACTTCAAGAGCAATGGCCGGCATTGGAGCAGTTTTTTCTTTGAGATATTCCTAAAAGTGCAACCCCGAATATGAAAAAAAATTGTACAAACAGCCCAATTCAAAAATATTTCAAACTGTTTAAAAAAACTCGTTCATGAGAGCAGAAGTTGCGTTTGTCATTGAAAGTGCAGTTATTTTCGAACGTTTTTTACTCATCTTCCAAAAAGACGAACCTCTGAATCATATTCTATTTGAAGAAGTAATGGAATTAACAGCAACTGTGTTGGGAAGAGTGTGCAAGCCCGATGTACTGTTAGATTTAAACAACGTAAACTCTCATTTCATTTCAAGTAATTTCTTCCTACGAATCGTATTAAATGCGGTGACAATACAGAAAAAATTATATTAAAAATGAAAGATTTAGACCAACTTCAGTTTAAAATCAATGTCAGAGACCATTTTATTGCTGCAGCTACTCATTTACTTAATAAAACTATAATCGCATCAAGTGCCACTACAAAATATTTTAAATGCTTAAAGCCAGAAGAGCAAAAGGAAGAAAAAAGTATTCGTAGCACAAAAAAAGTTGCTCGATTATTACCTATCTAAGTATCTGAAACAGCATTATCTGACGAATGGTTGCTACTTCAACTTGACTCAAATTGAATAACAACATCAAACAACTCGTCACGTATTGATTGTTATTGGAACAACATATTTAACATAAAAAATGCTATTAATGAATGTAAATATCCTCTTATAACTAAAGTCGTTAAAGCTGCCCTTTCTCTTTCTCATGGTAGTGCATCAGTAGAGCAAGGGTTTTCCATATCTGGACAAATTATTACTCCTGATAAAGTCAGAATGAAAGTTAAAACACTTAACGCTAAACTCAATATAAAAAGTGCTCTAAGAAAGGCTGAACTAATTCCAATAACTAAGTAACTTATAACTGAAGCACATTTTGCATACAGAAAGTATAAAAGTCCTTTAGAAGAAGAAAAAAGGAAAGGCAGACAAAAAATAAATTGAAAACAAAGATATAGAAGAAGAAAAGAAAAGAACTCAATTATTAAACGAACAACTTGATAAATCACAAAAAGATATTAAGATATTAAAAGATAAATACAAAGAAGCCAAGAAAAATGAAGTTTCTCAGAAGAATGTTGCTGAAAAAATGATTGAAGAAGCTAGTTTAAGATTAAAGAATGCTGTAATGAAAAAAGAGTTCAATGAAATACAGATAGTGCAGGCAATGTTAGAAGGCGCCCAAACTCTTCACAAAGAATATAAACTGAAAGAAGAAGCTTCTGCAGTTATTAAAAAAAAAAAAATTAAAAAAAGGAAAAGCAACCTTATTTCCTCGTTTATCGAAAAAAAACAACGCAGAGATTAAAATGTATTTAGTTTTCAGTTATTTTTTATTTTTATTTGTTTGTGGGTTACATTAATAATCATGCTATTATGTACATATGTTTGATTGGTATTTACTATTTGCTAGAATCCCTGTAAACCGCACTTTGTCCACGACAATCATAGCAACAAAGACGTGGAGCCGTTCGGAAAGTTCGTGTTCGACCGACATTTCTTCCGTGTCGAGAGTCGGCGGGATGGCGCGGCTCAAGGCATCTACGTGTGCCATCCGGCTGCCAGATCTGAACTTAACTTCGAAATCAAACTCTTGTAAGATTTCAGACCATCGTGCAATTTGTGGCTTGACGGTCTTATGGATATTTAAATATATTTACGATTGACAATCTGCCACCACAGTGAAATGTATACCCAACAAGTACTGGCGCAGACGACTAAGTGACCATATGACAGCGAATAACTCTAGCCGGCTGCTGTGGTACTTCGCTTCGGCGTCGGTCGTCTATTTGCTGACCATGTGCAAATCGGTGGTGGTCGGTCCTTGTAGCAAAATTCTCGACAGTGCCACTGCACTAGCGTCAGTGTGTACCTGTGTCACTGCCGCCTTCGGGTTGAACATGCGCGTTACATAACAATTTGCAGAGCGTGGTAAATTATTTTTGTTGTGCTTCACCTCACTCGTACGCCACATCCTTCCCGGTGAGCTGCGTCAACGGAGTAGCCACCCTGGCGTAAATGGCAATGAAGCGTCGGAAATATCCGGTGAGGCCCATAAAACAACGCACCTCGTGTGCGTCCTGGGGCTGCGGGAATGTCTTGATCGCGTGTACCCTCTGTCCTGGTCGTATAACGCCTTGAGATACGGTAAATCCGAGGAAGTCCAACTCACTCGCACCGAACGTGCACTTCGCAGGTTTCAATGACAACTTAGCTGTGCGGAGCGAAACGAACACCCGTCTAGCCACGACGAGCATTTCTTCCCAATCTTCAGAAGGAATGATGATATCGTCCAAATATACATATATCAACCCCTCGTCCAGCAGTCCCTCGAAAACGGTGTTCATGGTTCACTGGAACGTACCGGGCCCCTTTCAACCCAAACGGCATTCGTTCAAACCTTGCGGTGGTCTCTTCCGTGACGAATGCGGTTTTCTCTTTGGCCTCCTCGCTCAGTGGGATCTGCAAGAACCCGTTGGAGAATATCCGGCCCTCCACGAGCCGAGATAATAGGTCGTCGATATCCAGCATCGGATATGGTTGATTCTGTGTTTGTTGATTAAGGGGATTGGAAGCGGTGATTTAATAAGGGGTTGTGTATAGGCAATTCTATGTTTTTTCTCGTTACGCAGTGTGTTTGTGTGCAAAGTAAATGATCATTTGTGTGCGTAGATACGGTTGGAATCCGTCGTATAGCCTCTAATGTCTGTGTTGGGCAGCGCTAGCGACACGCGACGTATATGTATTATTGTTATTTTTATTTTATTTTAATACGGGCCGCAGCCCAAAATACAGGAAGTAAATTTACATATTATAAGTGAAAACAGAAATGTGTTATAGGCATAACAATTAAAATAGAAAAAGAAATAATACAGAAAAAAAGAAATTACAAAACTTAACTTTAAACCAAAAAAAACGGATCCTCATTAGCAATACGCATCATCCTATTTAGTGGTTTGTTTCGTGCATCATTTGTTGTACACAGTGGAATACTGAAAGGATAGGAAGAACGGACCTGGACACAGGGAATTTTAAAGTTTACTTTGGGTAGAAGTTCAGGACAGTCGATCGACCCATTGATGAGTTTGACGAGGAAGACATTGTTAATGGTGATACGTCTATCGGCCAAAGACTGTAAGCCTAGCCTATCTATTGACTATTACTGCATCATAATCATGCGGACTATGTTCAATATTTAATAAATATGCTGCAAAGCTCAAAAACTTCCGTTGGACTCTTTCAAGTTGATTCATATTGCTTGTGTTGTGAGGGTTAAATGTAATTACAGAAAATTCAAGAATAGATCTGATGAGCGCACAATATAAGGCTTTTAGTGGAGTTATCAACTTAAAATCGTTACAAACCCGCTTAAGGAATCCAAGAGCTTTTAAAGCTTTACAGCATATCGCATCTATATGGTTATGAAAATGTAGGTTACTATCATAGAAAACTCCGAGGTCTTTCACAGTATTCCATCCAATAACAAGATAGGTTCCACGGAGTGAATATTTAAACTCCATGTGAGTCCGACCTCTATAAAAAGATTTTGAACAACATTTGGAAACATTAAAATCCAAACCAATATTTACAGCCCTGGCATCCAGAGCACACAAGTCATTTTGAAGTAATTGACAGTCATGTACTGAGCGAATTTCTAAAAATAGCTTTAAGTCATCCTATAGTTAGCTACATTAGAAACATCACTAGATTTAAATATAGGCGTTATGGAACTAAGTTTGAGTATTTCAGGGTAGGTTCCGGAATCGAGTGATTTTTGAAATAGAAGCCATAAGGGGAAACATATAGACGATCTGAGCGAGAATAAGAAATCACCTGAGATACCATCCGAGCCAATATAATTATTTCCTTTCAGGCGTGATAAACCTTTTTCAACATCAGATATATCAAAGAAACCGTTGCTCGGAAGATCATGTGGCTTACATCCTAAACTTTCATTTACAGCACCATAATCTTCGTCGGGTTCAGCTATCATTTTTTTTTTTTTTTGTTCGAGGACTACATAAAATATTAAATTGTGTAAAAGTTAATTATAAAAAATAAATTTAAAAATGTACTTGAATGCTTGAAGTGGTTTTCTTATTTGTTTTTGTTTTTGAGATCTAATGTTTTTTAATATAAACGCTTTTGTAAATTTTCCTGGACTATAATTGATTGCTTTTTTACGCAATTTTCGTAAATATTCCGGGCCATGTCAGCGCAGTCTGACAACGAGTCGTATCAGAACCTTAAAATGTGTTAATAAAAAATCAAAACTAAAAAATAAAAAATAAATTTAGTAAAATCACATCTAAATGAAAAATGTATCCTTTTTGCTCCTATATATTTCGCCACAATACTATTGTATGATTCGACTGCATTGTTATTGACATGATAAACTAAACTTTCTGAATGATATGCCACTAAATTTATAGATGCTATAATGCTATAATATCGTTCCAAATACCACATTCTTGCATTTCTGAAACTAAATTTTTATCAGCATCATTTTTTCTTGTACAAAAATACCAAAAATAACAATCAAACAATATTAGGTACATCCCAATTATTATTGTAAAAAAAAAATTCTTACATATCACATTTATCATGTGAACCAAATACATGATAAGTTCCGTTCTAAAATTTTGTTCATTTTACATAATTTGAGAATTTACTACAAATGTATTTAAAATTATCTCAGTTGCTACTTTGTGATACCACCGAACACTCTTTCTCATAGAAGTGCAGTAAGACGCTAACTGATCCGATAAATCTATTCCTGCTTTTCCTGCATTATCTGGTTTAAATATATCTTCATGATTCCTATTTTTCTTCAGAGTGTTTGTCATATTTAATTGATGTCGCGTTGAAAGTAAGTGAATGTCGCGTTTATCTTTAAATTTAGATACTACAGTACCAAAATCGTTTTCCAGACCGACAAACTCCCCTTTTTCAATTTTTTCCTATTACTGTTTGT